AGCCCGCCCTCCGACGAGCCGAGGCCCGTCGCAGCGTCGAGGCGACTCGTCGCAGCAGGTTCCGAGTCGAAGAAAGAGAGGTTTAGCCGCCGCGGCCGCGCCGGCGCGCGCCTAGACCGTGTCGTCCTTGAGCATGGTGAGGTACTGGTGGAAGTAGACGCGCTCGAGGCCGCCGTCCTGGGCGCCCGCGAGGGGCTTGGGCTTGCACTCGCGGATGAAGACGTCGGCCTCCTCGTCCGTGAGCTTCTCGGAGAAGGCGACCATGACCTTGCGGAGGTCCTTGGCGTAGATGAAGATCTTGTTGATGGGCACGTGCTTCGTGTCCTTCATCTGGCGCAGCTCGTCGTTGACGATCGCGTCCTCGTCGCCGCCGTCGCCGCCCTCCTCGCCGTCGCGGAGCACCATCTCCGCCGCGCCCTCGACGAGGGCCCGGAAGTGCTCCGCGGCCTCCTTGGGGTCCACCGTGCGCGTGAGGTACTTCTCGAAGAAGGCGACGAAGCCCTTCTGCGACAGGTGCTCGCCGAGCAGCTTCCGCGTCGACTGGATCGTGTTCCGCTTGAGCAACCCCCGGTCGTCGCGCTCCGTCGAGTTGCCCAGGGCCTTGGGGTCGCTCTCAAAGGTCATGGCCTCGCGGTAGAACGCGTCCGTCTCCTCCTTGGTGAAGACCTTGCCCATCATGGACACGGCCTGGCGGAACTCGTCAAACTCCATGCGGCCGCTCTCGCCTGTGCCGAATTCAAATCTTCAACTCGACTTCAATGTGAGCGAGCGCGACAGTTTCGACGCAACCTCTTCGGCTTTGCTTCGAGAACTCGACGAGAGCAATCGATTCGTCCAAAAATCAGCCGAATCGACTTCGATTTGACCGAGCTAGAGAATTCTGAAGTTTGGTCAGGACCACCCAAACCAGTGGTTGAATTCGGCACAGGCTCTCGCGCGTCGTGAACGCGAACGCCATCTCGAGCCGCTTCTCAAGCTGGTCGTCCTTGAGGCCCTCCTCGAGGGGTTCGTCGTCGTCCTCGTCGTCGGGGAAGTCGTAGTCGTCGTCGGCCAGCGGCGCGTCGTCGTCGAAGTCGTACTTGTACGCGTCGCCCTCGTCGGAGCCCGCCTCGGAGAGCGGCGGCGTCGCGTCCTTCTCGCCCCCGAGGCCGAGGTACTCGAGGATGCCCTTCTTCCGCGCCTGCGTTTCCTTTTGCGGTGAGCGAGCGGCGACCCGGCGACGACGATCCCCGTGGAGGCGCCGCGCCTCCCGCCGCGCCGCCCCCCGCCGCGCCGCCACGGACGAGTCGACGTTCGAGAGGCACCGGCGCCACGCCGCGGCGCGGGAGGGGCGGGGCGAGTTCGACGCGAAGATCTCCCCCGGAAAAAAAGGAAAACGTCGCGGCGCGGGTCCGCGGACGGGCTCGAACTCGTCGTCCTCGTCGGCGCCGAGGTCCGGCACGATGGAGTTGCCCGACGACTCCGACGACGCGTCGCTCGACTCGCTGTCGCTGCCCGACTCGCCGCTGCCGTCGGACACGGTGCCCGTCCCGGACTCGCCGCTCTCCGACGTCGCGCCGGAGAGCTCGTCGTCGTCGTCCTCGTCGTCGCCGCCCGACGACGCGCTGAAGGTGCCCGACTCGGCGGACGACGCCGAGGCCTCGTCCTCGTCCTCGCCGCTGGCCGACGCGCTCGCGGACGACGCCGACGCGGACGACGCGCTCGCGGACTCGGACTCGCTCGCGGAGCTCGCGGAGGCGGACTCGGACTCGGACTCGGAGTCGGAGGCGCTGGACATGGACGACTCGGTGTCTTCCTCGCTCGTGTCGGACCTATGACGCGTTTCGTTAGTGTTGTTTGTGGCTGCGCAGCTCACATCGTGCAAAATTGTCGACCACGGAGGCTGCGGTGCCGATTCAATCCTCACATCGGAGGACGACAATGCAAACATTTCTTGCGAGACACCCAGAAGAGAGTGTTTAGCGAATGGTCCGGTCGTCGGTTCGAAAATTGCATAATTTTGCATCGGACCGGATCGGACTAGCTTGCTGGACTTTACTCTTTAGATCATATTTAGAGATACTAGTCAACAATCCCCACTTAACAAGTGCGAGATCTTTAACCTGGATGAAGAGCTGAACTCGCCGGCCATGCCTCAGATGTTGCACTCACGTGCCTAGATGAATCGTTTGGTCGTGCGGGACTCTGATGGGTTTCTTTTTTGCGCCTCCAATTCCCCTTTTTCCTCCTCCATATCTACACAGGCGCATAGAGGCACCAAATATTCGAACATCGTCGCCCGCGAAGCTCCGCGACGTAGAGCTCCGCAGCCTTTACAACCGCACTCTTAAGCCCACACTCCCCCCGCAAAGCCCATCCACCGACCGCGCGCACTGCGCGAACCGAGAGTAACACGCGCCGCCGACGTGCTTCGCCTCCTTCTTCTCCATCCCGCCGGCGTCGGTCGTCGGCTCGAAGCTCGCCGCTGCGACCTTCGCGAGCTTGGTCGCGTTCACGCCGAGGAAGAGCGCCTCCGACGCGCCCATGGACAACGTGTCGCGGTACGGGAAGCAGCGGTAGAACGCGGGGTCGAGTTCGCGGAGCTGGCGCAGCAGCTCCTCGCACGCGAGGGCGTAGATGCAGGTGTTCGTCGCGCCCCCGTGGCGCTCGACGATCTCGAGGACGGGCCGCGTCGAGACCTGCGCGAATCGGAGTCGTTTCGGACGAGCGTTCGAACTCGAGCGCCGCGATCGAGTTCGAACGACTCGACACGATCGACGTAGAGCGACTCCAGAGCGATTCTCCAGATCCTCCGAACACCGACGCTGCCTCCCCTCACGAGCACCACCAGATCCACGTCCGCCGCCTCGGCGGCCTCGGCCAGGACCGCGACGTCGGGCGTCCTGTGGTCGGCCTGGCACGGGTAGGAGCAGCTCAGGAGCATGTGGCCATGGCTTGTCGGCGGGGCCCGGCGCAGGGCCTCGGCGATCATGCGCACGCGCGTCGACCTCGACACGCCGTGCGGCGCCGACGCGTTCGAGAAGTTCCAGGACTCGTTCGTGTTCAGCCGCGGCGCGTCGGCGCCGTCCGAGATGCAGTGCGGGTCCTCCTACGATGCGATGAGTTCCAGCGCGGCGCTGCGAACGAAACAACGCACCAGCTCCAGCACGACGCGCGCGACGCTCGAGATGCCCTGCCCGAACTTGAGGCCCGGGAACAGGGACCGGTGCCACAAGTGGTGGCCCGTGTGCTCGAGCCCCGCGAGGTAGACGAAGCGCTCCGCCGCGCCGCGCGCGGTCTTCGCCGCGCTGCGCGCGGCCTTCGCCTACGTCGACGCGACGGGTTCGTTTCGACGAGACGTTCGCGGGCAGCGCCTCTCGCGCGCGCGCGCGCTGCAGAGAGTGCTGCCGAGAGTCGCAGCGGTCCAGCTGCGGCGCATGGGCGAGACGCCGGTGCTCGCGATGCGCGCGCGCGGCGCCGCCGTCGGCGCCGGCGTCTCCAGCTGGCTCCGCCTCACATCCACCTTGCGCTTCGGGCCCTTGTGCGGCCCGCAGCCCGGGTACTTGTGCAGCTCGTCACGAATGCTCTCGACGTCGCTTGCTCCGTGCTCCGCCAAGCACCGCACCACGGCGAGTTGTAGGAACAGCAGCGCGCGGCGCATGACATACCATCGGGGCAGCTTCTCTCGGGGCAGCCTCTCTGAGAGGGCAGCCTCTCACGGCAGCCTCGATTTCGAACCTTGACCCGACCTGGGAGACGAGTTTAAATAGCGAGTTTCTCCTGTGGCAAAAGACTTTACTTTTACAGAACTAATGTATAGTTAACAGTCATCTTCTTCACTTTTTTTAGTGCAAGATCTTCAACTCGGATGACGAGCTGAACTTGCCGGTCATACTTCAGATGTTGCACTCACGTGCCTAGATGAACCGTTTGATCGTGCGAGATTCGGATGAGTTTTTTTTGCTCGGTTGCTCGTTTTTTTTTTTTGGTCCAACACGTCCATCCAGTGCCCTCTCCGCGTAATCTTGACGCTCCGTTCGTGAGAAGACGCGTGTCCGGGGGCCGCCGGGGGCCGGCGACGCAGCCAAAAGCCCGTAGTGTAGCCCGTAGTGTCTCGCTTTCTCGATCTCGAGACAGTACGCGCTCTCAGATCTCCCGGGGTGACTCACGGGTGCCACAGGACGCCGGGGGCACTTGCCCCCAACGGCATCTCCATACGAAATGCAATGCTCTGGAGACACGATCGTGTCTCCTCGAGGATACGAACGATCATGATGTATCATACGAGCGCTCGCAGCCACCAATTCTATCAATACGAAGATACGAAAGGAACCACAATCCCGCCCATGAATTAAGTTTGCAAGTCGGGTAAGCACATGAATTAAGTTTCCAAGTGCCGCGACGATTCTCCGCCATCGGCGACGACGCAAACGGCAGAGGGGGCCGACCACCAGGCATACACCAGCCACGGCATACACCAGCATAGCAGCCGCATAGCGGACGCATAGCGGACGCATAGCGGACGCATAGCGGGCGCATAGCGGGCGCATAGCAGGCGCATAGCAGGCGCATAGCAGGCGCATAGCAGACGCATAGCAGGCGCATACCACCAGCATAGCAGGCGCATAAGACCAGCATAGCAGCCGCATACCACCAGCATAGCAGGCGCATAAGACCAGCATAGCAGCCCGGCGACCGCCGTCGATGACAACCCAGGCGACGACCGCCGGAGGTTACCGACGCTCGCCGCGGCGCGGAGCCCCTGCGAGCCACACGGAACCGGGATCCCCGGGCGCGCGACCCCGGGCCGCCTAGCTACCTGGACCGACGAGTCGGCGCCCGACGAGTCGGCGCCCTCGCACGGTTCGCGCGGTCGCGCGGGTCGAAGCGCGGCGCGAGTTCAAACCGCGCGCGGACGTTCGAGTCCGTCGACCGCGGGCGGCTCGCTCGGATCACGAACCGAAGTCGGCGGAGGAGCACGCCACGCAGGACGAGAGAGACTCGGACGAGCGCACGCCGATTGAAGTCGCGCGCCCTCGCGCGGTTCGCGCGGACCGTCGTGATTTCGAAGTCGCAGCCCCTGGGTATCAGCTACTGCAGGTGCACCGACGGACCGGTGCTCGCCGCGAACGGGGCTGTGGTCCATCGGTGGTTCTTTTTCGCGAGGAACCCGTGGGGGACGCGGTCGACGGCGGGCATCGCGCGGTCGCGCGCGTTTCGAAGCGCGGCGCGAGTTCAAACCGTGCGCGCTCGTCCGAGTCTCTGTGGTGTTCTCGAGGAGCGAGACGCACCGCTAAACGCGGAGGCTGCTACACTGTCGAACGCCAGCGACTGGACGAGCGCACGGGTTGTGAAGTCGCGCGGATTTTGAAGTCCGACAGCCCGCGCCGCCCTGTTGTGGGTCGCACGCGGGCCAGTCGCAGCCCGCAGCGCCATCGATCGTGACTCCGACCTTGATCGGCGGCTTCGCGGCGGCGCGGGCGGCCCGGGGCGCGGCGAGCCCAGGGCCGTGGGGTATTATGGGATGGCGGCGAGTCGGCGAGTCGCTGCGCCGCCGCAGCCCGAATGTGCCCATATCATTTAGATACGGGCAGATATAAAATCAACCTAGCAAGGCTTTAGGGCCGCGCGGACAAGGACACGCTCGGCGCCTACGACCTCGGCGAGGAGGCCTTCAACGCGGAGGCGCCGAGATACATCAAGGACAAGTGGGCCAAAAAGGCGATGAAGAACCTCCGCGATTCCTTCGTCAAGCAGCAGTAGGCTCCCGCATTACTCCCTAAGGAGGGCCGGCGCCATACTTCGCGTTGCTCGAGCTCGACAACGCGTTGCCCACGGGCCATTACAGCCTCGTCCGCCGCACGGACGAGGTCGAATACACGTAAATTCGCGGGTTCTGCGTGCTCAGCAACGACGTAGAACCCACGCAGACGTGCCTCGAGCAGGGCCGCGTCCGGCTACTAGAAGTTGAAGTAGGTATTTAGTTAATCTGAGGGCTCGGCCATCCATGGTAGGAGCGCGTAGCAGCCTAAAGTATTATAAACTATACGTGGTGGGAGCCGCCATTAGCTAGGCACGGACGGGTCGTGTCCGTGTCGTGAGCGCGGAGCAACCGCCGCCCGATGCGGGCCCTGCCGAACCACGCATACCACCAGCATACCACCGGCATAGCAGCCGCATACCACCGGCATAGCAGCCGCATACCACCGGCATAGCAGCCGCATACCACCGGCATAGCAGACGCATACCACCCGCATACCGCCCGCATACCACCCGCATACCACCCGCATACCACCCGCATACCACCCGCATAAAACCCGCATACCACCCGCATACCACCCGCATACCACCCGCATAAAACCCGCATAGTAGGCGCATACCACCAGGCATACCGGCGGTCAACCCCCTCGGGCAAACGGCGACGCGGCGCCGACGACGCCGCCGACGCCGCCGCCGACGCCGCCGACGACGCCGCGACCGCTCCCACGCGCCCTACGCTTAGGAGAAGAGCAGGTCCCCGGAGCGCGCCCGCGTCAACGGCGCGCGCACACGGCCGGACGCCGGTGGTGTCAGCGATATTGATGTTTCCCACGTAGATCAGCTGATAAAAGCACTGAGCATGATCCCGTTAACGTTGCCTCGAAACCGGCTCTGCCATCGAGCTGAGCCGTGATTCTGCCCGCCTTGGCGTCGACGACGCGCGCCGCGGTGTTGTTCGATACGCAAACGCGCGCCCATAGCTGACGGGGTCTTCGTGCACGCGACGATGGCCGGCCGCGCCTGCCCGCGCTGCACGTTCAACAACACCGATGCGCCGAACGGTCGGTGCTTCGTCTGCTCCGCGCAGTTGCCCTCGTTGCGGCGCGCGTGCGCGGCGGCGGCGGCGGCGGCGGCTCTGCCCCCCGCCGCGTCGCAGTCGCGCGAGCTCACGGGGCTCGGCGACTTCCTGGGCTCGGGGCCCAATGACGTCGCGCCGTCCGCGATCAAGGCGACGCACGCGGCCGCGAAACGCGCGCGGCCGCCGACGCCCAAGGACGACGAGCCCGCCGGCCGGGACGCGGGGTCCGACGCGACGTTCCGGTCGGCGCCGGGCAAGTCCGCCGACCTCTCGCCGCCCGCGGACGACGACGCGCCCGCGGCGGCGGCCGACGCGGAGGACGTCGACGCGGCGGACGAGATGGAGGACGTCGACGCGGCCGAGGCGGAGGCGGAGGACGTCGCGCCGGCGGATTTCGAGATGGAGGACGCCGCGCCGGCGGACGAGGACGAGATGGAGGACGTCGCGCCGGCGGACGAGGACGAGGAGCGCGCGTCGTCCGGCTCCGACGTCGCGGACGACGACGACGACTACGACGACGACGACGAGGATGACGACGACGACGACGACTTCGAGCGCGAGTTCGGGGGCCGCGGCGCCGCGCCGGCGACGCGGGACGCGGCCGAGCGCGACGCGCTCATGCTCACGGACTCGCCGCCCGACGCCCAGACCGAGGCGGCCGTGGCCGCCGCGGAGGCGTCGCTCGACCGCGAGCGCGACGCGTTGGTCGACCTCACGGACTCGCCGCCCGACGCCCAGACCGAGGCGGCCGTGGCCGCCGCGGAGGCGTCGCTCGACCGCGAGCGCGACGCGTTGATCGACCTCACGGACTCGCCGGAGGACCTCGGCGGCGGCGACGAGGAGAACGCGCCGGCCAACGGCTCGGAGCCCGCCGTCTGGCGGCCCGTCGTCAAGCGGCCCGTCGAGCGGCCCGCCGCCAAGCGGCCGCTGGGCAGCAGCCTGCGAGCGTGGCTCGACGGCGGGTCCGCCAAGCGGCGCGGCGTCGGCTTCGGCGACGCGTCGCGGCCCCAGGTCGGCGCCGCGTCGCTCGACGACGTGTCGCGGCCCTGGGTCGGCGCCGCGTCGCTCGACGACGCGTCGCTCGATGACGCGCGGCCCGCCGCGCGGCTCGAGGACGCGCTGGGCGACGGCGCGCTGCTCGCGCTCGACGCGGCGCTCTGCGACGTTCGGCGCCGGGGCCACGCCGCGTCGCTCGACGACGCGTCGCTCGACGACGCGCGGCCCGCCGCGCTGCTCGAGGACGCGCTGAGCGACGGCGCGCGCCTCCGCGCGTTCGGCGACGCGCTGCGGAACTCGCGGACGGACGACGACGCGGCCGCCGTCGGGCGGCCCGCCGTGCGGCCCGCCGTGCGGCCCGCCGCGCGGCCTGCCGCGCGGCTCGCGGACGCGCTGGGCGACGGCGCGCGCCGCGGCGCGGCGTTCGGCGCGCTCGGCGACACGGCGCGCAACTCGCGGCCCGCCGCGCGGCGCGTCGACATGTCGCGCGCGCTATGCAATCCAAGCCGCCACGAGCTCCTGGAGCTCGTCGACGTGCTCCTCCGCACGGGCCTCTGGAAGGTGGGAGGGTGCTACGAGGACCAGATCGATATCCGTCCGTTCAGTTCTACGTACGAGCCGGAGTACTACTACAGACAGGGGGCTATCCTCCTCGCGTACGGTCTGGTCGACACGGCGCGCGCGGAGCAGCTCGAGACGGCGGCCCTCCAGCGGGCGAAGTTCGAGCTGGGAACCGGCGTCAACACGAAGGACCGCGACGGCCTGCCCCACGACAACTACTCTTCCGCTCGCCCCGGCGCGCTGTACGCGGTGCCCGTGCGGACGGATGTCGCGACGACGCAGGAGGAGTTCAAGCGGGTGTTTGTCTCGTACTACCTCAAGCTCAAGGGCGGGAAGAAGAAGACGACCTACGAGGAGGGCCGCCAGCAGCACGAGAACACGCTCAGCGTGCCGGACGCGCTCGCGACGCTCAAGGAGCACTTCGAGGCGTCGCAGCTCGAGCGCGTCTTCGTCGGCGGGCGGAAAGGCCTCAACGTCCTCGCGCGGCCGTACCTCCAGGAGCCCGACGGCGACTCGGCCATCGGCGACGCGCTCAAGAAGCTCACGAAGAGCCGCGAGGACCTCTTCAACGAGGGCAAGTACACGCACGTCAAGGAGCTCTACTTCGAGGAGACCGACGCGGAGGGCCGCAAGCTGCACAAGCAGTGCAAGAAGCCGAGCGGGATCGCGGGCACGCTCAGCGTGCCGGACACGCTCGCGACGCTCAAGGAGCACTTCAAGCCGTGGCAGCTCGCGAGCGCCTTCAGCCAGAAGTCCCAGGAGGGCACCCACGGCTTCAACGCCCTCGCGCGCCGGTACCTCCAGGAGCCCGACGGCGACTCGGCCATCGGCGACGCGCTCAAGAAGATCACGAAGAGCCGCAAGAACCTCTTCAACTACGAGAAGTACACGCGCGTCAAGGAGCTCTACCTCGAGGAGAAGCGCGCCGAGCGGGAGTGCAACCCCTTCGCCTGCTAGGGCGCTCCCCGCATGCACATAAGAAGACCTACGACAGTGAACGCGCGCGTGACCGACGTGGCCTGGGGCTTCGTAGCATTACGCCAGCACCTCGTGCGCCACCGCCAGCCCCCCGATCCAGAGCCGCGCGCCACCAACAACAAAGAAGAACGCGGCCTCGACGCCGTCCACGCCCCCGCGCCGCGTGGCCTCGGGCTGCGCCGCGAGCAGCGCCCGCGACTCGCCGACGGGCAGGAACCCGCCGACGAGCAGCTCGCGCTCGACGGGGTCGTCCGGCGGCGGGTCG